CTTTGATGGGTGATCTAGATTCAACAATTACTTCCTTCGCGACATCACTTCCACCTACAAAGTTCCTAGGCGCAAATCCTTTCGCTATTTAGGTGCTTTTACGGGATGACGAACAAAAGGCTGCATCGGAAGTGGACATTACCTCTTATCGCGATTTTGGTCATCACTCCTCTTGTGGCGGGACAATGTGGATATCGTTGTGGTGGTGGCGGCGGTGGTGGCGGTGGTGGTGGTTATGCATCTCCTTACGGTCAATACGTAGCACTCCACCAACCTATACCTCAACATCTGCCTGAGCCTGTACCTCAGCCAATATTCACACAACAGCCTACGGGTTACTTTTACAGAAGTTAGTTCATGGAAAAAAAGCAAAGTCCCATAAAATTGTTTCAACTTTCAGCGGGTAATTACGATCAAGGCCATGCGGAAGTCATCGCCAGTGAAAAGGAAGCTGCGCCGCTTCTATTACCCACAAAAGTACCGGTATGGTTTACACATCATCTCATATCAATGGTAAAAGGATAAGCTTTAAATTTTTGAGCGTAGTCACGTCTGCAAGTTATAAACAGAATATGGAAAGTTAAGTAGGCACTGGAAGACTGATTTCAGGAATATGAGGATGCCGATAAGAAGGTGGCAGAACTGAAATCAGCATTATCTGAAGAATCGAATGATGTTGCCGAGGTAAGAAATTGTTTAAAAAATGCAAAAGCATCTATCTGACTAAAATTAGTCTGGCTAAACACTTGCCTATACAAGGTCAAGGTAAAATGTTTTCACATCAGAATGCATTTCACTTCTTATTTACTTAAATGTTGTCTTATGTATTGTGCCAAAGTTGCACGAAATAGCTTCTTGGCAGTGCTTGGGCAAATCCAACTCGATACTTCCATCTTTTCTAGAACATTTCATGCTGAACACGAATATCAATTCCAACAAACGTGAAATTGTCAAAAAAAGCAGGTTCCAGGCTCTCTCTAGATTGACGAAGAAGAGTGTTAGATTCTAAGATTTCGCCTTCTTGTCCCGAAACAATCACACTTTCTTGCTAAAGAGCACTGCTTTTGAGAGAAGCCAAACACGGGCGATTGAGGTGGTAATTATTGAGTGGCTTAATGACCTAAAAGGGGCGGACCGACCTAAACCCAGAGTGATTTTCTCGCTTACCGCGACGAAATATTCGCGTGAATCAAAAGGATATCTTGGTCAGAGAGATTTCCACCATTATCTAATGAGAGCTCAAAATTCTTAGTTTTCGGGCACTGCCTTTAAGCATTCATGTGGATACGCAGACGATGAGAGGTGATAATGGAGCTTTTCTTACGTACTTCAGCCTTGGCAAAATTGTAGCCAAAAATAACATCTAGTTCTGTGAAAGAAAACACGTGTCTCTGTCTAAATAAGTTCCGACCGTTCAGAGCCTTACGATTGCACCAGCATCGACGTACATTCGCGAAACGGGAGGTTATCAACCCCCTGTTTCTCATCAAATAGCGTATCGACCACAATTGCCACCATTACCTCAACCAGTACCACAGCCTGGTAAGTGCTCGCTTGTAAAAGTTATGAAGGTTGTGGTTGGAAAAATGGAAAAATATTACTAGAGTTTTTGCTTACAATAATGTTCGATGTGAAAAAGAATGAACAATATAAACGTATTATATCGATCTGAAACTCCCAACTTTTCAAAGCAACTCACATAAAAAGTTAAGGTAAATTGCGCTGTTTAATGAACCAGTGATTTGAAATTGATTACAATTAATTTTGCAATAGTTGAGTAGAATTTACGCAGTGCTTCAAACGGGAAAAGATACAATACCGATCTGACTTCTTCAAAAAAAACGTGATTTTACATAAAAACCCGTCGCAAACGTCGCATCATCATAACTACATATCTTTCGAAATAGAAATTTTTCAAAAGGAAAAGCGGTTTTATATTCAGCTCGTCAAGACGAATTTTAATATGCCACACTGCGGTAATATAGTTATGCGGTAGCTAGAGTAAGAAAACAGCATTGTGAATCCGTTTGAAATCGCGTGGGGTGTTAGATAACCCTCTACGCAAAGTTTCAGGCGGATCGATGTTGATATCCTACCGTATCTGCCGCTTAGATGTTACTGTAGTGTGGCATAAATTAAAATCGTTTTGACGAGCTATGTCTAACACCGCTTTTCCTTTCAAAAATCCGTTTTGAAAGAAGTCAGGATTTTATGTAAAATCACGTTTTTTTTTT